GAACCCAATTATCGAATCCACTTGTAGATAGATCAGGTCGTTTTTTTATAAATAAGTTGCAAAAAAAAGAAAAAAAAATTGTTGGATGTCATAGTCAACTAACCAACTTCTTTCAATATATTCACCATTATCCAATTATATTTTATAATAATCGTTATAAAATCCTCTATTTCGAGAGTTTTATGTATAATCGCTCATTACATGTGTTTTAGGTCCTCTCAAAACGATAATATCAAAAAATATTTTACTAAGCACAGGGGAGTCACATCGATGAATCATCATAATTAATATAGTTATTTGAATCATTTTCACCACTGATCTCCTCATTTTCAGATGGTGAAGAGGATTCAATATGGACTGTTGAGTAACATATTCACTGTTTCAGTCCCTGAAACTATATCTACGTTTACTTATTTTGAAGAATAATTAATATTTTTATTGAATAAAAAATTATGCAAAGCGTTTTTTTTTCTTGTTTAAGTTCTTTTTGTTTCTGAAGTTTCTTGAAATGTCTGTTTTAATTATGCACAAAGCTACACAAGGGCTATCTGTGCTCTGCCCACCACGGGTATCGAAACCCGGTTTCTAGCGTTGTAAGTCCGCAGACATACCGCTGTGTCACTGGGGGGCTTCTTGAAATGAAATTGGTGCACGAATATTTTTTTTGGATCAGAGGGCCCTTCTAAATTTGTTAATTTATGGGTTCAAACGAATTTGTTCGCTGTAGGAAAACATTAAAAATTACATATATATATATTTCGATATTATTTATTTCATCTAAAACAAATGTTGATAAGACTTACACCAAAAGAAAATTTAAAATCTCGACATTTGTATTTTATTTTTGGAAGAAATTTATTGGTATAAGCCAGTGGTTCCCAACCTGGGACCCCCGGACCTCTGGGGTTCCGCGTAGGTAATACCATCTCATTAAGTAAGTAAGTTTTTTAATACTGATTTTCTTTTTAATTACACACTCAGTTATATATGTCTTTTATTTAATAGTGAAAAGTGGGAGAACGAGTTAATTATTAGTTAATAAAAACAGTTTGTTTGGTAGGCGGAATCTTTCAAAAACATGGGGTCCGTGGAAAAAAAAAAACGATAATAAAAGGGGTCCTTGGTGGAGAAAAGGTTGGGAACCACTGGTATAAGCCATCAACATAGTTTATCATAAACCGAGAAAATTAGAATCGTTGTGTTGGAAGATCTTAATCTATGAGTAAAGTTTTTGTGACATAGTATGAGTTATAAATCGGTATAATAAAGTTATTCCCCCAGTGGCTCAGCTGTATCTCTGCGGGCTTACAACGCTAAAAACCGAGTTTCGATACCCGTAGTGGGCAGAGCACAGATAGTCCATTGTGTAGCTTTTTAATTACAAACAAGCAAATATATCTTTTAGCCCATTTAACCCGCCTTGAGCCGGCCCTGAATATATTTATATATATATAGCATTTGAAAAATTACATTAATTTATTTTTCTGAACTATTCAGCCAAAAAAATGGCGAATTCGTGTGTGTATGGATATATATAAATATATATTTATTAAATATCCCGCATGTTTGGCACAGGGTTTTAGGTCGTTGAGGGCCTGGGAGGGTCAGGTGCATTTTCGAACTTTTCCTCTCTTCTTAACTATTGATTAAAAACTGACAAAAGCTACTGATGATATTCAAAACACTTATTAATCTTCGCCTTTTCAAGGTCATGTCCTTGAAGAGAATGCTAATAGCATTTAATGTAATTTTACTTTTTCTCCTTATTTGTTCACAAACAGTTCCGATAATAAATCACACTTGTTCTCAAGATATATTCATCAACGCTTATTTATACATGAATACCCTTTTTAAATACATCAGTGATATATAAATCTTGGTGGGAAATTTTGACGTCTAGTGCAGGTGGTTTTATTCTTAGAGTAGAAATTTAAAGGAGAGAGGCACATAGCCCTATCAACATCACGTATGACACAGTGATCTATTTCGGTTAACAAATCATTTTTGTATAAATTTTTATCAAAGTAGCGGAACGAGCAATCTATCAGTCTGTCTTTTCGTGTAAGTAAGTTTACATAATTATGTAAAAATGTTGAGTTTATGTATCTCGGCACAATGAAAACTGTAGTTAGTACTGAATTTTGTATGATTTGCAATTTCTTGAGATTTGTTTTTGTTACACTTAACCATGCTGGGCATGCATATTCAGTTACTGGTCTGATATATTGTTTATAAATGTTAATAATGTTTTCCGTAGTTGCTCCTGTGTTTTTGCCTGTTAATCTTTTGCGATAGTTTGCTCGTTGCCACACTTTTTTCCTTATTTCAGCTATATGTCTGATCCAAGTTAAATTTGAATCATATGTTAATCCTAAAAATTTTCTTGATGACCTGGTATCAAGAAGAGCTCCGTTTAGATATAATTTGGAAGGATTTTAAGTGATTTTGCGAAACAAATTAATTTTATTTTCTGTATATTAATTTGTATTCTATATTTCTGACAGTATATCCTACTATTTTATCTAAAACTAGTTGTAAATTGTTTGATGCTATTGAGAGTGTGGCTGAGTTCTTCCAGATAGCCATATCATCAGCAAACTGTGAAGTTGAGCTACAATTAATATCATTCAACGGCATGTTGCTTACATACATGATGGAAAGGATAGGGCTAGCTACGCCTCCCTGCCTCTGGAATGAAATACTCTGAGTATGTGCCCTCTACATTTACTCTATATTTTCTATCGTCAAGAATGTTGGACAACCAGCGAATAATTCCTGTTGGTAATTCCATTTCTTTTAATTTTAATCTTAATCCGTTATGCCATACAGTGTCGAATGCTTTCTTAATATCGAGAAAGCAAGCGACAGTGCAATTCTTTTGGTTAAAGCTATCTATTGCGGTTTCCGTTAGCCTAACTAAATTATCAGTTGTTTGCCAAAATTTTCTGAAACCATTTGGATTTTGTTCGTTTGTTTTTGAATTTAGCGCAAAGCTACACGAGGGCTATCTGCGCTAGCCGTCCCTAATTTAGCAGTGTAAGACTAGAGAGAAGGCAGCTAGTCATCACCACCCACTGCCAACTCTTGGGCTACTCTTTTACCAACGAATAGTGGGATTGACCGCACATTATAACGCCCCAACGGTTGAAAGGGCGAGCATGTTTGGTGGGACGAGAATTTGAACTCGCGACCCACAGATTGCGAGTCAAACCATTTTGAATTTCAGGTAATTTTGATGTGATCTCCATCAAATTTGAGATCCTATTGCTAATATTCGCTCTAGAATTTTGCCTAAACAACTAGATAAACTGATCGGTCTGTAATTTTCCGGCTTATTCGCTGGTTTACCTTTCTTCAAGAACATAAGTATTGTTACGCCTCCAGTCGTTAATTAATTTTCTGTAACTTCTTTCCGACTAAACTTGAGCGACAC